ATTGGAGAAAAAGAGTCTAACTCAGGGGTCACCAACCTTTTTTGAAAGTGAGAGCTACTTCTTGGGTACTGATTAATGTGAAGGGCTACCAGTTTGACACACACTTCTCAAATAACAGATTTCCTCAATTTAACTTAATTATGTGTTATTGTTAATAATTAATGATATTCATCAATGTAAAGACACTAATTATGTTAATTATTTTTCACCATAATTCTAAAGAATGCAAGTAGGAAACATGGTAGGAAACATAAATATCAATATGCAACGCTTTATTTCTATAAATCTCTGCAAGTATTTACATTTTGAAGTGATCACTTCTACAACATTTTCACTTACCACTAACAAATTTTAACAAATCATGCACTGTTACATACATGATTTTTGTATGTATGTAACATACAAAAAATCAACTTTCAAATTTTACAGAACTTTTCACCAAATTGGCAGCATTTTAAAGCAAATTGTCACATGTTACACTTAACAAACACATTTGTTTTTCAATAATTAAAGTCAACTTTGACATGGCACTGTAATGTTGCCACTGAGAACATCTAATATGGCTTTCTTTGTCTGTTAGTGGGAAACCTGGCATTGCATGCTGTTCACCAGTGTGTTGTAATCTGGGGTATAACTTGACACTGCAACTCTGAGTGAGTCTTGCAGATGTGCATCAGAGAGGCATGTTCTGTGTTTGTTCTTGATGAAGTTCATGTCAGAAAAGGCTGATTCACAAAGATAGGTTGAACCAAACAGGCTGGCAACCTTCATAGCTGCTGTGGATACACCACTGTACTTTTCTGTGTCAACAAGGCACCAAAAGTTTGGTGCACCCTGATAGGCTTTGAGGTTGACGTCATTTTGCAATGTTACAATTTTGATTTCCACCTGTCCAGCATTCAAGCTGAACATTGAACTTAGTTGCTCAGCAATGCATGTTGTGTCCACATTCATGAAAGGATTGGAAACAAATGAGACACATGGCTCAAGCTGATCAAGGTCACAAAACCTGTTCTCAAACTCTTGACCAAGTCGTTTTATGACTTGAGTGTACTTTTCTGCAACTTTGTCAAAAGTCTCAGATGCAGAAGCATTGTCTTTCAGCACCATCTGTACAGAGGGAAAGTGCAGCACCTTTTTTCTCTGTAAATGCAAAGAGAAAATGCTCATCTGGGCTTTAAATCCATTTAAAACACTTATCATGTCAGCAACTGTCTTACCTTTGCCTTGCAGCTCACAGTTCAAGTGGTTCAGTTTCCCAGTAATGTCTGTTAAAAACGCAAGGTCAAGTGTCCACTCAGTGTCCTCCAGCAGCGTTGTGTCTTCCCCTTTGGATTGCATGAACTCCTTGATTTCACCCAAAAGTGACAAAAAACGAAGCAAAATCCGTCCCCTGCTGAGCCATCGGATTTCCGTATGTAGTAGCAGGTCACCATATTCAGCTGACAGCTCCTCCAATAGCACCTTGAATGTTCTGTGCTGTTTAGCTCTGGAGCGGATGCTGTTTATGATCTTCACGACGGGAGTCATGATGTGCTCGAAGCCAATCACCTTTGCGCATAACACCTGCTGGTGAATGATGCAGTGGTAATGCATGAAGTTTGGGAACTCTGTGTCACCTTTACAGTGAGCAATGAATCCCGTATGTCGGCCGATCATAGCAGGAGCCCCGTCGGTAGTCACTGATACCAGCTTTTCTAACGGTACCTCTTTCTTCGCGAAAAACTCCTTCACCGCGTTATAGATGTCAACTCCCTTCGTAGTTGTCTTTAGCGGCAGTAGTGTCAGAAGTTCTTCTTTTGTGGAAAAACCATCAAATACCATCCGGATAAAGACTATCAGCTGTGCTGTACTGCTGCTGTCGACGGACTCGTCACACTGGATGCTAAACCAACTGCACTTTGCCAGATCCTGATCCAACTGATCGGCCAAGTTCCCGGACATAGCCGACACTCTTCTAACAATTGTAGTTGCCCCCAGCTGGACATCGGAGAGAGTGCAGATTACATCGTTTCCATATTTCTCGTCTTTAAGCACAGTTTTTGCAATTATCATCATTGCTTCTTTGAAAACCTCCCCGTCTAAAAATGCCTTCTTTTTCTTAATCATGAAATGTGTAGTTCTAAATGAGGCTTCAGTTGCTTTTTAAGAGTTTTTCACCGGTCTCGTGAAAAAAGACTGCTGTTTGCTCAAACCTGCCTTTAATTCGCGGGCCTTTTCCGCTCGCAGTGTGCTGCCCTTTGGGTAGTTAGCATGGAAGCTTGTGTGACACGTTTGGAAATGTCTCTCCACGTTGTGCCGCTTTGCCGTTGCCACAGTTGCCCCGCAAATGAGACACACACATGAATCTTTCACAGTGGTAAAAAAGAACTCTTCCTCCCATTCACTGTGAAAATTATGTTTTCTTCCTTTTTTCCACCATGTTTTCCTCACCTTTGCCTTTGCTGGTCTTCACAGCAACTGTTTCCGTGGAGACCAGCTAGCACTGATCTAATATTTAATAATAAACATTTTTTTTATATATTATCTCTAACAAATTGACACCAATGCAATTGTGATTTAAAAAAAATAGCAAGAAAAAATAAAAATAGATGCAGCTTACTGGTAAGTTGTTATGGTGAGCTATTTTTAGAACAGGCCCGCGGGTGACTCATGTGGTCCTTGCGGGCGACCTGGTGCCCGCGGGAACCGTGTTGGTGACCCCTGGTCTAACTTAACATCAATGGAACTAAGAGTAGCTGTAGATAATATTACATCTGTGGGATGATTATTGGTAATTTTTTCTCTAATGATAAAAATTTTATTTGTGAAGAAGTTCATGAAGTCATCACTAGTTAACGTTAAAGGGATGGTTGGCTCAACAGAGCTCTGACTTTTTGTCAGCCTGGCTACAGTGCTGAAGAGAAACCTCAAACATATTTAAATTTACTGATTATAAATAATACAAATTTTATTTGTCACATACACAACATATATTGAACAGGCAGTGAAATGCTTGTGTCCTGAACAGCGGACAGGCTGCAGACATAGCTGCGCCACTCAAGGGCTGGTTTTTAGCATGGGGGGTTTAGCCAGGACCCTTACTTTATACGGGGTGGAAATCGAACTTGCGACCCCCCCCCCCAACCACGTCAGAGGTGTGTAGTTTTACCACTAACGGAAGCACCTTCAGCTGATGAGCTTGTGTTCTGATCATTAATTAACAGTCATTACGTTCACATATCAGTACATTCACATATGAATCAAAATTCTGTGTTTAACACAGACTCCACAGGAGCTGTCACGACTCTGGAGGGAGTCGTAGGCAGACTGAGATCAAAAGTTCAGTTTATTTATACACAAATCACCAAGTGCAACTATATACAAGTGAAGGTAGGGGTCTCCGGGGAACACAGGCACGGTGAGGGAAACACAAGCGGGCTGTTTACAGCAATCCTCCTCCAAACGCTCAGGCTTAGCTCTTTCACACTGGCTTACTCTCACAATAGTGGCGAGCCTCAAGCTGGTAGGCAGAGTCTGACACAGGGAGAAGAGAGCAGGTTAACTTACGGCACAAAGGAAACTCAGAAAACCGCAGGAGACTAAGTGAAGACACTGATGAGTGTTACACAATAATCCAGCGATGAGGCATTCCCAACAGCCGCCTTAAGTAGTGAGAGCATAATTAGATGATTGTTTGCAGGTGCAGGAGCCAGAGGTAGGAGTCACCATGACTCCGCCCCGGTAGAGCGCGGGAGGGAAGCGAGAGAGACAAAAAAGACATCATACTGAGTCAGCTGAGCAGGCGCAGGTACCATGACAGGAACTCTCGTTTAAAAGGAAACTCTGAAAATGCATCCAACAGTGGGAAACCTTTCAGAGAATATCTCAGAGAATTTCTGTGAAGCAGAAGCTAAACATAATAATTGAAGGAAAGCAAAATAATGATCCAAATCCTGCTCTGAGTGATCGTTTAAACATCACTGTCAGACAGTAAAGGCTTCCAAGGACTGCTCACCTCTCAGACTTAGTTAAAGATGCTGGTGCTGTCCACAGATCAGCTGACCTGCTGGGTCTCCATGATCAGCTTTGTTTCTTGGAGATCAAGGCTGAGCCCTTTAGAGTTTTATTTTATTTAATGAGCAGATGATCATCAGTGACGCCGTCTTTAAAACACTCTTGTTACAAATGTACGACTTTAATGTGAAAAATTCAGAGTTTTTTCTCTTGTTGTGTTTGTTTGAAGCTGCTTCCTGTTGGCTTCAGCTGTTTGGAGTTTCCATTTTCTAAACTTCTACATTCTGAACCTTCAGCTCTGAACAGATTATGAAACACTGAATGATTTCAAGCACACACTTTGTCTGATAAACTTACATCTTTCATTCTTTATACAGATTGAGGAGCTGTGGTTTGTCAGAGATCAGCTGTGAGTATCTGGCAGCAGCTCTGAAGTCCAACCTCTCCCATCTGAGACAGCTGGACCTGAGTAACTCTGACCTGCAGGATTCAGGCCTGAAGCTTCTTTCTGCTGGACTAAAGAGCTGTGCACTGGAAACTCTCAGGTCAGGATTCAAACTTTTCTACAGATGATCATTTAAAATGTGAATTATATTATTGCATAAACAGGTAACCTTTATAGAGCTTTCAAGTGAAGTTTTATTTAGATTTGAGTGGATTATTAGACTCTCAATTACTTTTAAAAGTTTCTATGGTTTGTTTATTTAAAAAATACTTTATGTATTGGCTGATTTAAAGATTTAGGGCTCCTTTGTGCTAATAATGAATAAATTTGATTTCTTTAAATTTAGGAGGTTATTAGTTCACTGTTTTTCATTCACAGTACTTTTAAAAGCTCATTTCTCAAAATAAGATTCTTATCTTTTCTTCTCCAACACTTGCATCCACCAAATGTTCTTGCTTGATGTATGAAAAGAAGACAGAAATTATTGTTTTTGATAGAAATATGCCTCTGGGACAACTGACTGGCACACTCGGGCCTGTTGCTGTTCACCTCACTGATGCTGTCAGGAATCTTGGAGTTTTCATGGATAGTTCCTTCAAACTAGATAAACAGGTGTCTACTTTGGTAAAAACTAGCTTCCACCAACTACGCCTAATTTCTAAGGCTAAACCTTATATACCACGCAAAGATCTGGAGAAACTCATTCATCCTTTCATCACTTCAAGACTAGATTATTGTAATTCTCTCTACTTGGGCCTCCAATCTTCCCTCCTTCAGCGATTGCAGTTGCTTCAAAATGCTGCAGCACGTTTCTTAACTGGCACTAGAAAGTATGATTCCATCACCCCTGTTCTAGCCAACTTACATTGGCTTCCCATTAAATATCAAATTGATTTTACAATTTTATTGTTTACTTATAAAATCCTAAATAATATGGCATCTGATTACCTAGCTGATCTCCTCTGTCTGTATAGCCCTAAGAGAGCACTGAGATCATCGGGCCAACTGCTCTTAGTGCAACCTAGGTCTCGGCTGAAGACTAGAGGAGGCCGTGCCTTTGCCATTGCCGCTCCCAAATTATGGAATATTCTTCCTCTTCATATTCGCGCATCAGATTCTATTCAATCTTTTAAATCACTGCTAAAAACGTACTTGTTTAACCTGGCATTCAAGGCTAATTAGGGTAATTTACATCTGGTTTTGCATTTAGATTATGTAATTATTTTATATTTTATATTGTGATTTTTATCTGTATCATGGTTTTACTGGAAAGCACTTTGGTGTACTTCGGTCTTTAAAATGTGCTATATAAATAAATTTTGATTGATTTTTTGATTCTGCCTGTAGTCTTGTCTGTATTTCTACACACAGTGTGTGAGTAACGGCTGACAGTGAGGATAATATCCCTGAATGCAGTAAATCCTATTTTCTGTTGAAAGTAGAAAAAAGTAGAGCGCAGACAGAGCTGAAACTGGTGCCTGTTTGATTTAGTCCTTGAAGCAGAGGTGGTGTTTTTACTGAGATCTTCTAATGATGTTACAGACAGTGTGTGGCTCTCTCTATGCTGATAGGACTGAATGTGTGGAGTAAACTGAAGCAGTGCTATAAAAGCATCATTCAGTCATTACAAGGCCCAGTCCAAAGGACCAGCCAATCAAAAATGGGAATTCTTGAGCCTGGCAATGCCTGGAAGCAACAGGTATGCCACCTGTGGCAGCTGAGGTCACGTGATCTGAGTGTTTGAACCACGTGTTGGAGCAGGGTTTCCAAACATCTGCACTTCAGAAGCTGTGTGGAAACATCAGTGTGGAGCATCCCATCCCTATCTAAGAGATCTTCTTGGCACTGCAAAGCTAAGCCTGCAAACAGCACCATAGTTTGTGAATCGCAAGCAATCAGAGCGCTCCTTATGTCACGTCACATGACTCGTGTGTTTTCCTCTTTGATTAGCACCAAAGAACTAAATAAAGGCTAAAAGGACGTTCAGTCAATTAAATCCCTCCTAGGAACAGGAAGTCTAGAGAAGAAATGGAGCAGAGAAGGATAATCACCAGTTTAAATGTCTGAGTTTTAAACTGGTGACCCTCTAAAGAGGCTTTTATTGACTCTTTCTGTTTCCTTTACAGCTTTTTTTTACCATTTAAACTGTTTAATATGAGATTTAGAAATAGCTTTTGGATAGTTTTTCTACATTTGCACTAAAATGTGACACAAATAATGACTTTGACTTTACTTTGGGCTAATCTAACGACTCAGCCTGGCTGTGTTGGATTGGGTGTGGAAGCAGCTCCCAGTTTGAGTTCAGGAGACAGACACCCTCTCTACTTTGAAGATCAGCTTCAAACTTTCCTTTTTGATAAAGTTTATAGTTCGAGCTGGATCAGGTGACCCTGAACCATCCCTTAGTTATGCTGCTATAGGCTCAGGCTGTTGGTGGACTTCCCATGACGCTCTGCTTTCTTCTCCCCTCTTTTTCACTCCTGATGCTTTTATATGTCACTACTGCATGTCCTAACTTTTGTCGTCTCTCTCCTTAGTTTGTGTTTTCCCCTCACCCTGCAACCAGTCATGGTAGATGCTCCTCCTGGAGCCTGTTTTCACTGTGAGAAGCACCATCACCAAGTGCTTCTCACAGTGGATTTTCTGATGGTTGGGGCTTTCTCTCTAATATTAGAGGCTGTTACCTTACACTGTTAACCCTTTAAAACCGGTCGGAGCGGGCGCGCTCCGTTTTGCGTAACCATTTTTAAATCCCGGTAGAACAGCAACCACATGAGCTAGCGTAATAATTCTTTTTGCATATGAAACCGGAGGAGTTGTACTTACATCTTATGCCATCAGCTTGTCCTAGGTCACGGTTTCCTTCCACATATAGCTTTGCAAAAACTGCATAAAAAGCACTTGCAGCAACAAAAACATAATATTCCAGAAACACGCGTTGCCGATCCGATCAGCTGTTCATAACACTTCCTACGTTAGAATAGACGTCAGCGCGAACTATCGCATGTCCGCCATGACCTGCCCGAAACCGGAAGTGACGTCATTTTCACGGAAATGTAGTTTTTTACCATCAGGGCCTCATGAGCCTATACTGGTGTTTTTAAAAGTTATGTTTGACTTTATGACTTTCTGTGTCGTTTCTGGGATGCTTAGGACTCATATTGCACTGCTGGAAATAGTTTATTTTGATGCATATGCTGCTTTTTTGCAAATTTGCATTATAATATTTATTTTCGTTTTTCCTGCAGTATATAAAAATTGGTGTATTTCAAAAATAAAACTATGAAGACACTCAAAATAAATTTCCTGTGGTGGGAAACTATTTTGTGCAACTTTTTTGTATTTACAGTTTTGAGGGATAAGCCTCTTAAATTTCTCTAACTAGAAATATATGTTAAAAAAACAAAAACGATTTTCTATTTTTTTGTAGTTTATTGCACTTTTTTGCAATTTATGTAATTGCTATGGACTTAATGCAGATATATTATTAAAATCTGGGCTATAATGGTTGTATTGATGTATAGCAACTTGAAATGCTCCCAAAAATGGCTCCACAGCATGTAAAAATATAAAATAAGCTCTGGCGGACTTGGTTCTATGGTAGGTCGTAAAGGGTTAAATAGCTTGAGATGACTGCTGTTGTCTGTTGGGAATTGTCAGTTATAAATAAAGTTACATTGAATGGTTGTAAGTGGATAGATGTTATTGTGACAATGAGAAAATGATTGTTGACAGATGGATTGTTGTTTTGTGTGTCTGCAGTCTGTCAGGCTGTCTGATCACAGTGGAAGGCTGTACTTCTCTGGCCTCAGCTCTGAGCTCCAACCCCTCCCATCTGAGAGAGCTGGACTTGAGCTACAACAATCCAGGAGCTTTAGGAATAAAGCTGCTGTCGGCTTGTTACGTCTCCTCGAGGGCAGGAGGGGATAACACAACAACTCTGGAAACCCGGTACAGATGTTATAAAAAACTTTAATGGCAGCGCTCTCACAAAATAAATAACCCAAATTCAAACAACAAATGTGGGGGAGAAAGGGACAGTTAGGTTGTGCAAAAAAAAACACCAAAAAGACAAAACCAAAACTTAGCTGAGCTATTATCCTAGAAAAACAAAAACAGGGGAAAAAGACCCTAAACCTCAACTCAAAACAAGCTCAAAATTACATGGGTGGCACCAACCTACTTACCTAGTGTTTCTAATAAAAAGACTCTACGTGAGTAAGTGTATGGGGTCCCCAAACTTACCTAGTCCACTTTACTTCCACCACAACCATCAAACAAAAGAAATACAGCAGAGGCGTTTTACACATGTGCCAAACAATTCAAAGGAGGGAAGAGAGACACACCCAGCCACAGGTGAGTCTCCTTATCAAGGTGTGCCCTCCAGGTTTGTCCAATCAGGGTCTCCCTACTCTAATTAGTTGGAGATCCCCAAATTAACATCAGCCTGCAGTCTGTGTACCTAAGGGAATGGCAAACAAAAGGAGAGGGAAAGAAAACATGCAGCCTGCAGACACGTAACAGCTGGACGGAAGGATCCAGGCTGGAGACTGGACACTCTGAGGTATGGAGAGAATGTCTGATAGAGGAGGAAGAGCTGGAAACATTTCCTGTGTCCTATTTGTTTCATGTAGATGTGGCAGGAACTCATCAATCAGTGATATTAATGTAGGGCATCTCCATGGAGAACATCTCTAGGAACAAGCTGTATATATATCAGTATAGTAAAAACAGCAGATTACATTAATCTTTTTATAGAGAGGCAGAGGAATTATTTATCTTAGATCAAAACAACCACTGGGGCCAGGGGAAACTAGCTTTATCAAAAGGAAATATAATTATAATCACAGTTGTTGTTTAAGCTGACAACTACAAAGAGATGTTTGGCATACATTTAAAGGCAAGTGGCTCTGCAGAAATACATTTATATATTTCTAGTGCTTTTCATATGCCACAAAGTGCATTAGGAAGAGCAGTTCTTAAACCTTTACTTCAAAATCCATCTTTAGACCCAGCAGTCCAATCAGAGGCCAATTACCAACCTTCCTTTTATATCAAACATTCTTGAAAGAGTAGTTGTTAAACAGCTAACAGATCATCTGCAGAGGAATGGCTTATTTGAAGAGTTTCAGTCAGGTTTCAGAGCTCATCACAGCACAGAAACAGATTTAGAGAAGGTTACAAATGATCTTCTTATGGCCTCTGACAATGGATACATCTCTGTGCTTGTCCTGCTAGACCTCAGTGCAGCATTTGATACTGTTGACTATAATATTCTATTATTATCCACAGAAAGAATCTGGTTAGATACCATATTTCTAAGATTTTCAGGGCCAAGTACAATAACCTCAGTTTTATCAGAATTTAGAAGCAGAAAGTTAAAGGCCATCCAGGTCTTTATATCTTTAAGACATTCCTGAAGTTCAACTAATTGGTGTGTGCAGTGAAAATGTATGCTACGCCGTCTGATGATCCTGCCTAAGTGAATCATGTATAATGTAAACCGAATTGGTCCTAGCACTGAACCCTGTGGAACTCCATAACTAACCTTATTGTGTGAAGAGGACAAATTGGAGTCTATTAGATAGATATGATACAAACCACTGCAGTGCAATACCTGTAATACCTACAGCATGTT